AAAACCAAAAATTTGATAAAAATTGCCAAACTGTCGGGAAAATTCAGGTATCTTTGATTTCATTAATTTGACGAGCGCCTGATTTCACCACGATGCCTCACATATATACATATGTATATAGGGAGATCTGGTGAGACCTAGATATTTTTTTAGAAGTGCTTACCATTTCATCTTTACCTCTATATCCATCATGACAAATCTATATATCATTATTGTTGAACAGAAAATCCTTAACTTTATTTGCCCTGCTTTACAGAGTGACCCAATCAAATTTGGAGAAGCTACTTTTTCTTACAACAATGACAGTAAATGCTTAACAGTCTCACAATTAGAAAAAGTTACCACTTTTATTAGTTGTTTTTTTTTTGGGGGTGGGGGGAACTTGGCTATTGTGTCTTTCTTAATAATGTGCACTTAAAAAGTCAACTATGAACACTGATTTGTAGCATAGAATAGGGGTTGGAGAAGGTTAGTCTTTAGACAAACACCCTTTACACACTCATATACATTGACATTAATGATAAACTTCTACAAAATAATGGTGTGCAGAAGTGTTTGACATTGTAAAGGTATTCTAATCCTCTAAACTTAGCAAGCATTTAACTCGAACAAAATCTGTGACGGAAAGCAGAGCCAAATGTTTTAATCGCAGAATAAAAACTGGCCCACACAAACTGAGAAGATAAGAAGTCAAAAGATGTTTTAGTGATATCACTGCCCTTACTTGGATTGCTGATGATACTTGATCACTGTATCTCCATTCAGAGTATGTACCGTTGCAGCTGAGGGCAATACAAGCTCTGACGGCACAAACAACCTGCAGTAGAAAAAACCAAAAACAGGCATAGTGTAGTTAAAAAAATATAGCACTGCTCAAAGTTCAATCAAAGAATGATCATATATGCCACTTTAACCATACTTCATACTGATTTCAGAAAAAAACAACCCAACTGCAATTAACGTGGGACTAATAGCATGGCATCTTTTAACCAAAAAACCCCCCACAGAAGAACTAAAATCTTGGCATTCACTGCAAACCTAGGCTGAGTGGAATACAATATCCTAACAGACAAACAAGAAACTCAATGAAAAACTTCCACACTCTAAAACTGAACTCCCATCTACTGTTTGCAGTATTTGCGGTGTGAAAGACAAAAGGCAAATTTCTCACTGAGAGATTAATAAAGATTGTAATTGTTATCGTGAAAAACCTGTAACAGCTGTGCCACAGACACCAGTGACTTGCCTTTATTCACCACCACCAATCAAAAAAAAAAAGTAAGAAGACAGGGAATAAAGGGACTCACGTAATCGCCGAGCTCAAAGTCTCCTTGTAAGTCCTGCCTACTAAAGCGGGCCTTTGAGCCACATTTGAAGTTGTCTTCAGTAAGATGAATTCCAGTGCTCGTCTCCCATTTGACTTCGTAAGCAACACCATCTTTGCATGCAACGCTGTTATCTACAATAAACGGAGAACATATTTCTATGATTTAAAGATTGTTCAGTTGGGAAAGAGGCAGAATTATGACAGAGAAAGGGTGGTGGATGTGCAGGGAGAGGAAGAGCAGGGGGGGGGAGAGAGAGAGAGAGAGAGAGAGAGAGAGAGAGAGAGAGAGAGAGAGAGAGAGAGAGAGAGAGAGAGAGAGAGAGAGAGAGAGAGAGAGAGGGAGAGAGAGAGACGGAGGGAGAGGGAGAGGGAGAGGGAGAGAGAGTGGGGCAAGAAAAACAAACAGACAAACAGAAAGAAATAAAGAAAAATAGATAAAGAAAAGGTGGGGTGGGAGGGGAGGGGACGGGGGTGGAGAGGTGCTGACACACAGACAGGTAGATATCTGCACAACTATGCAGAAGATAAGAATAAAGAAGTCAGGATGGAAACAAACATTGTAAAACAAAAATAGCCATTGTCATTGTGAAAGAACTGAGAGAAACAGGAGCCAGGCAGATGTGAGGCATTCCATCAAGCAAAATTGACAGGAATCTCCATTCAAGTGCACAGCCAGTAAACTTATCACGATTTTGCTTTTTTTAAATAGCTTTCAGAAAGAGTTTTACAGCACTTGCAACACATTCAGGTCTTAAAAGTGCCAAAGATTAGAGGTGTTACAAGAGAATAAGAAACACAAAGAAGGAGGAGGAGAGAGATATGGACGATAGATGTTTGATAGGAAAGAAGAAGCAAACCACACCAGAGTACCCACCAACCAACCACAATCAAAGATTTGGGACACATAATGCAAAGAATACATTTGAACGAAATAGCAGTGAGTGAATTCAACAAAAGGAATTCTTACCTTCGTCAGCACCCAGAGAACACTGTATTTCAAAGTATGGAGAGTTCTCAAGAGTTGAAGTTGAAATTGTGGGCTTTCTCACTGTTGGATTTGCTGTTGAAAAAATATGACAGGAACGATGTTTTACAAATGTAGAAGTAAAAAAAGTGTTTTGATTAATTTTGTCTCAATGACTTTCCAATTCCTTGACCAGTCACGTTATGAAT